TCTCCACGTGCCAGCCCCTCCCCACATATCAGCTGCAGTAGTTACAGGCCAGGCATCCATATCCTAACCAGGGGTTAAACAGCAGCACGGCGGGTGTGGCAGCTGTCTCTCACCTGCCTGTGTACCCAGCTGTAGTGACCCCATACTGGATGCACCAATGAGCCAGGAAAGAGGGCACCGCAAGGGCCCTCAGTCAGTCCAGGAATACAGTTGGACTTGGCTAAGATCACAAACACTAACGAAATGGCCACTGATGGTAGCATTTGTTTCTATAGCACATCCTTCAGAAGCCTAGAGGGAACACACGGTTCATCCAGATGCACATACACACTCGCACAGTTCATCTGGAGGCACACACGCTCGCTGTCCGTCAAGATGCATGCACAGACACGCACACCATTCAGATAGGTATACATATACACACACCCCTTTCTCTCTCTTGCACACACACCCTCCATCCATCCATCTGGACACATGCATGTGCATACACTCAGGGGTGCACAGTACATTCACACAAATCCGTGCCCAAATTTTGGGGGGAAGAGCAAGGTGCCCCCATCCCCTGCTTAGAAACACACACAGGTCAAGAGCAGCAGCAGTCTCAGTGCTGTTAACCCCTTTGGGAGGGCGTCCTCGATCAAGTGCACATCTTGCCCAGCCCACGCCGTCCTCGTGGCTGGAGCGGCTCTGAAGTGCACACGAGAGCTCCGCGCGGTGGAACTGCTCCACCCGGCCCTTTGTTTCCAGAGATGAGTGTTGCGATGACTGTGATGCAGGGAGCATGGCAGGTAGCTGACAGTCACGCGGCGCTGTCCTGCAAGGCGCAGGGGCAGGGCTGGGGAGGGGGAGCTCTGCACAACTTTTCCCAGCTGTGCCCTTCACCCCGCTTGCACAGCTGTGCTCCGCTTGGGTTGCCTGGTAACCGGAGGCTGCCTCCGTAACTGTGGTTTGGGCGGCACAGGCACGTTGTATTTGAGCAGCTGTGCAGCGCTCGTGCCGCGGAGCCCGGAGGCACGGACCCCGGCCTCTCCCGTCTCGACAGAGAGGGGAAAGCTGAAGGGCAGCGGGGCTGCCCACCTTTGGGGCCAAACCCACGCTCCAGCCATTTCCAGCTCTGGCGGATGCCAGGAGCAACTGTAGGGTTGTGGATGCCAGGAGCGACTGTAGGGCTGTGTGCCCTTCTGGATCTCAGCACCACAGGCCTTCATCTCGTCCCACTGAAGCCAGCGGGTCGCCTGCTGTTGACTTCAGGGGGAGCCGCAGTTGGCCGATGTATCCCCTTCCCCGCCAGAGGAAGCTGAAACGTCTGTCACTTAAACCCGAGGGCCTGATCTTGCTATCACAAAGCAGGAGTGGGCCCCCTCTTAAATCAGTGAGGAGAGACTCCGGCGGAGGTGGCTGAGCCCTGCTGTCCCTATGTCCCATCGCACCAGCTGCTCCACTGTCCCACTCCCTCTGCCTTGACACACGCGGTTCCTGGGAAGCTTGTCATGCTCTTCGGCCTCCTTAGTTTCACTCTTGCATTTTTACACCCCCTCGCAGCACCTTAAGCAAGACCCTTCCCTCCCTTTCCCCCCTCCAGACAGCAGCCAGCATTGCTCAGGTCTCACTGCAGACAGCCCATGTCCAGCCCCGCGCCGCATGTCTCAGTCCTTTGATCTTTCCCTCGCCGATCTGCATTGCTGTTCTGCAAACTCCTTTTCAAGAGTGCGAGGGCCAGCCTTACCCAAGCTCAGCAAAGCGGGACGTGCCCTCGGTGCGCTACAAGCGCTCTCTCAGCCCACAACAGCAGCAGCTTGGCACATCCGTGGCACACCTAAAGCTAGCACGTCCATGGCAGGAACACCTAGGAGCCCCTGGCCTGGACCAGGGCTCTCCTTTGCTGGGAGTTGCAGAACCACTAGACAAAAAGCTGAACCCGACTGCAGGGACTGAGCGTCTTACAGCAAGACCTTGGGCGGATGGATGCAGGAGCTCTGGCATGGCAGGCAGCGGTCTTGCCACACCAGCTGCCAGCCCTTTATGGAGGACCGCACTGCAGCAAAGGAGAGTCGGAGGGAGGGACTGGAAGGAGCACTGAGGTAGCTCTGCGGTATTTGTGGGGAACCTCTTCTCCCAGCGGTGCTTGTCCCCAGCATGGAAGGAGTGGGAGGGGAAGGCTGGTATCACTGGCAGGGTGAGGGCAGGAGCTGATGATCAGTGGGGGAAGTGCATCCGTCCACCCTTACAGCTTTCTCTCAAATGCCAGTCATTCCAAGATCTTTCGGACTGGTCTCCAACCTCTTGGGGACCCCTCTGCAGGATATCTGTCCTTCCTCGCTCCCCGTCCTTCTCCAGTTTGACCTCCTTTCCCAGTTCAGTGACTGCACTGGTGACCCTCGTTCTTCCAAAGCACCAACCAAGAGGTTGAATAAGACCAGCCCAACCAGGGCACCATTTCATGCCTCCCCACCCCCAATGTGTTGCCATTTATCATCCCCCTCCCTTTTGTTTACAGCCTTTCAGGCCACTTTCAGTCCACGTGACAATATTTGTGTAAAAGCTCATTTGAATTAATTTTTTCCCAGTAAGATTTAGTGAGACACTGTGTCAAATTCCTTGCTCAAATCCAGATATATTATATCCACCGCTTTGCCTTCAGTTGCTAATTTTGTAATTCAATCAATGAAAATGACCAAGTTCCCTTGTGTGATTTGTTTGCTGCAAACCTGTGATTCATGCTGCAGCCATCTCCATTTCATTAACTCTGGAGGGGCTGCTAGTTTAGGGGGGGTTTCTCTCACGTTTGCTCCAGGAGGGTTTGAAATGCAACTTAAAAGCTGGTAATTGCCAGGGCCATTTTTGGTTTTTGGGGCTGAAGCTCAGGATAACGTGTGTTTCTCCAATGCCGTCCGGTGCCTCCTTCATTCCCTCTGCCAGAACTCACTGAATCAGAGCAGAGGAAGTGTCGGGGATCAGACCCACTGTACATCCAGACCCCAGTCATGGCCTGGATCAGGTGCTTCACAAAGGCTAGGGACCCAAAGGTGGGAGTTCTGGATTAACTGTCCCTAAAGAGGCTTTGTTTTTAGAGGTTCGTATTTGTACTGAAGCATGGGGGGTTGATGGGCCCAGTGAGCCTGGGGGAAGGCCGCAGCAATGTGGGAGTCTGTTGCTGGCTGTGCACGGCCCCGTGCCAGGCGTTCGTGGGACACCTGTGACCCTAAGAAGCAGAAACACGCTTCTTTGGGGATCCCCTTCCTGTCCTTCACCTCTGCCTCCCTCGGCAGGGGAGAGCGCTCACAAACCGTGCACGGACACAGCAGCTCAGGCCCCCCGGCATCCTCCGACCAGCCGGTCCTTCTCCACGTGTCACATCCCCCGGGTGTCGTTGCGAGGCACGCGGAACGTTTTCTCGGGTGGGATCTGGTGGCTGTCGCTTTGGACATACAGGCTGCTGGAGCCCGTCTGTTCTGCAAGGCCGACACTAGCAACCCGTTTTCCGGACGCAGGGAACACAACTCGGATACGCGTTCGGTAGCGAAAGCTCGGAAAGGTTTACTGGGCTGAACAGTCAGTCCAACTTAGCGAAGCTTGCCCTCGACAGGCAGAGACACTGTACGTTATTCACGCTCGCCTCGTCTCCGCGAGGGACAGGTCTCCAAGCCCCTGCATTATATTTGCACCTCCCCGCTGCCTCGTGCCAACTCCTCTCTCTCTGTCAAGACGCTCATCTCGACTGGTTTGGTTTGCCAAGTTTATTCACCTGCTCTCGTGATCTCTGTCTCGCTGGTTCTAACTTTTACATCTGTCCTAGGGTTTTTTAGCTGCTGTTTCCCTGCCTCCCTTCAGTGTGTTTTTGAGCATTTGTGCATTTTGATTATTGCTGTTCTTTCTTACTGGGTCATCCAGCGGTCCGGAGGCACCTTTCTCCCATGCTGCTTTTCAGCACCGTAGCCCAGCACAACTACGGCCTAGCGCGCCTGCAACTCCTCCAGGCGGTAACGCGACAGGCTCAGCTTTGGCTCCCTGGGAAATCAGGGATCTCCTTACCCCTTTCATGGCTCTCCAGGAGGGCAGATGGAGAGGATGAGTCAGCCCTGGGAAGAAGGTGGACGGGCTGAATGGGGAGGACAGGACTTTACAGGGTCAAGCAACAGCAATTCCCCGTGCCACAGGCCGTGGCTCCTCGCACAGGAGCGTGTGTGCAGGGATACCCTGGCTCGGGTCTGCGTGGGCCTGCGGGAGCAACGGCAGCACGTGGCCCGTGTGCGGGAGTGTGAAGCTGCTCGGGGCCTTGGCACAGGAGCGCGGAGAGGTGCCCGGACACCTCTGCACTGGGGTGGGGGGACGATTGTGCCTTGGGTGGGCGAGCAGTCGCCGCTCTGCTCCGGGATGGGAGAGCAGTCGTGGCTCGGCTTCGGGATGGGGGAAAGGTTGTGACTGCACCGGGACGGGGAGCGGTGCCGGCCGTGCTGCGGCCCGGGGCGGCGGCGGCGGCTCCCCGCGCCC